AGAATGGTAACTATTTGTCATAAACTAAACTCTATTTGTTTAGTCATGATTTGCTTCGTCCCCATCGTTTGTGCCGAGCACTCACTCACTCCCGATTTGTTCATCCAATATATGATTAGTGAAGGCATAGAATGGTAACTATTTGTCATAAACTAAACTCTATTTGTTTAGTCATGATTTGCTTCGTCCCCATCGTTTGTGCCGAGCACTCACTCACTCCCGTATCAGTTGTACATTCAGTACTTTCTTGTGTTTAGTTGTTTGACTAATTTGTCTGACGAACACGTATTTCCTGAGATGAACCCTCACTCTGCCTTTCCTCCCATCCCTGGCATCACTAACATTAAGAAGACCTCAATTTGTTCATCCAATATATGATTAGTGAAGGCATAGAATGGTAACTATTTGTCATAAACTAAACTCTATTTGTTTAGTCATGATTTGCTTCGTCCCCATCGTTTGTGCCGAGCACTCACTCACTCCCGCACTCACTCACTCCCGTATCAGTTGTACATTCAGTACTTTCTTGTGTTTAGTTGTTTGACTAATTTGTCTGACGAACACGTATTTCCTGAGATGAACCCTCACTCTGCCTTTCCTCCCATCCCTGGCATCACTAACATTAAGAAGACCTCATCCCTTAGCTAACTATAGTGTTCACAATACTGTTTACTGGCTATGGCTGTAGTTTTGCAACTATTGTACGCTTACAGACTTAGTGACTAACATAATGTCACTGATTATGTCTAACGTTTACGACCTCTTGTTTTGTTTGCTTGTAATACCATTTGATAAACTGATGACCCCTTCGCTATGAGAAATGTTTTCCAATTTTACAATAAGTTATATTCGGTTATTGTTTTTGTTTGGTTAGCCTCTGGTGACACATATAACGCATAAATTTTTTTAGAGTACACTTGTGTTACAAAACTTATGATAATATACAGTATTTTTTGTTATTGCTTTTGTTGGAGCCTTGAGGTTGTTTAAAATGAGCGCAGGGAGAGTGAGTGGATGGAGATCGTGGAGAGAGAGAGAGAGAGAGAGAGAGAGAGAGAGATCTTGAATGCTCTGAGATGCTCTCTAAGAGGGCTAAGAGTACGTCAATCACTCCAGGGATATATTTCGAGCAATTTTTACTTTTAAGAGAGAGAGAGCGAGAGAGAGAGAGAGAGAGAGAGAGAGAGAGAGCGTACAGTGAGCACCGGGAGCACTAGGAATGGAGTGCACTGAGTGTCACACATTATAATTTAATGCAATGTATTGTTGCATAAAAAGCCTTTTCTCGAGTAAAACATTCGTGAATTTGCAATAAGTATTGCGTTCACCAGTTCTGGAGCTCTTGTTTTGCTTTTATTTATTGCCATCAGTTTTATGAGTCGAAGGGATATTCGACTCTCAGAGCCAAAGCCGGGCCTAACATATCTGTTGCGATCACTTTTCTTCATCTATTTTAGACGATTGTATTGTAAATCCTTTTTTCTTAGACTCATGTCTTAAATTTCTTTGAGACCACATATTCTCGTCTCAAACAAAACACAATGAATATCAGGTCTTTCGGTGTCTTTCGATGTCTTTTTACAAAACACACACACAATAAGTGCCATAAAATTAATGAGAAAAGAGACAAATCTGGTAATCAATTGGAAATTTATTGCAATCTCCCCCACCACTAGTTATGACATTATTTTATGTTAAAAACAAAATAGCATTTGTCTTGTTTTAACAGAATAAGGAAAATGAGTTTGTCTTGACTTTCAAAATACTTGTCATTAATTTTTATTAAGCATTGCTTAAAATAAATGCTTTAAAGAGTCGCTATTCAAAGGGGTTTCTTCCGTAATCATAACCAAAACAATGGGAAAACAAAATATTATTCAAATGGATGTTTTCCACAAAAATAAATTCTGTTTCAAAAATAAGTTTTGACTTTAAAAGGAGAAAATATCATTTTCTAAAAGATTTCATTTGAAACAATGGTTTTTTGAGGGAATTAATCAAAATTAGTCATATTCTGAACAAAAGCTAACGGTTTGTGTAGTGAATGGCATAGAAAGCACTGAAAGGCAATGAATGAGTGCTCTATTTCTTACCGAAAACCTCTGGGATTCATAAGAATCGTAATGAAAATCATAGCACTCTTTGGGAGACGAACCAAATATATGAATGAATTAATAAACTTTTCTCAACTGTTTCTGCTTAAAAACCAAAAACCAATTTGAGTATAATTCCCCAATAACATATCATATGCAGTAGAACTTTAATTTTAAATAATACAAAAACTTTGAATAATAACAGCAATAAAAACAAATTATAAATTTAAAGATAGAAATCAAATTATTATCTAAATTTGAATCCAAATGTAATTACATTTAAATTTTAATTGAAAATTACTCTGATTTGGGGTTAAATACGGCACAAATTTAGCAATAAAATAAATATTACGAAGAAAAATGTAAATTTTTCAATGAATATAAATGAAAATAAGCAAAAAAAACTCAAATAAAATAAAGTATGACCTTTTAACGTACACTTCAAATAATAAACAGTATTTAAGTAGAAAATATCATACAATCAGTTGAACAACAATTTATTCGTGTTTTAAAAGCGGTTGAATTGATGTTAATTTTATTCTGTGCTCATCCTTTAGATCAATGATATGGTGTTTGTATTGTGTTATACTCTGTGACCACCCATGGGTTCAGTTTGAAGAGCTAATCACACTATTCAATGAATACCCCAACGCTATGGTTGTGTTCAACTTTTGAATACTGTTTCCATATAACAGTAATGTCTGTCATGAATGACAGAATCTACAAAAATAATCAATTTATCTAATGATTTGCAAACTTTGCATAACTATCCGTCAAATTCTTGGAGATTAGTGTCCAAAAGATATTATCTATTTTTGTGCTAAACTTAAGTAATTAGAATCGGAATAACGTTATTGTTATGGAATTTAAGTTTCATATTTGCTATGAAATACATTGAATACATTGAAAGTGTACTATACTTTACTTTACTGTCGAAATAAAACTAATAAAACTTGTTTTAATGACTCAACTCTATTGACTTAAATAAATGTAGATTTACTATTTTATTGCCGAGTCATAGAATTTAAGGATAATTTGAATGATATATCGATAGTAAAGAGTATTTGGAAGTTTGCAATAGAGATAAGAATTTGTCGTTTCTAAGAATCAAACGAAATAAAGACATTTGTGATGAATAATGACTATTATATGAGTGTTTAGTCCCCAAAGAGTTTCCCAAAGAGTTTGAGCCCATCTTCTTCTTCACACCCTTTTTAGGGAAGATATTCTTGAATACAATAATAGTTATCCGAAACGCAATCTCTAGGCTTCACTTCAATAAGACTATTGAACATAACATCCCTTAAAATGGTTTCACGAGTTTGTAACCAAACAAACATCTCTTTGCAGTGAAGTTAAAGTTAGTTTACATTTCTATTTAGTGCCCGAATCGCTGCCATTCAATCGATTTTCATTTCATCGTATTCTCGAGTCTCACAAATAGTTATATAAAGAAATTAATAAAAGAATTTCAACTCAAACTTAAAGCCTTTTTCGGATCAATAAGTCAATGAACTGGAGTCTACTTTAAACACAATCATTTTCATTTTATACAATATTGTGTAATATAAATCGCTTAATTAACACGTCAATGAGAGACTAATTAATACGATATTTTCAATATTTATTTTGCATTCAAACTCAATTTTCCTCAAAACCAGACATAACATTAAAATTAATTTACGCTATAAATTAAAATTTAATTTAATTAATAGAAATTCTTGTTTATTAATTAATTGCTGTTTAAATGAATACTCAATGTATGTTAATATTATAGTGATAGTGAAGTTTATTTGAGAATAAAATTCAATTAATTCTAACCTAAAGTCATTTGTGTTTCATTTCTTGTATGCTCTCTATATTGAGAATATGACTGCAAATAAAAGCAGTGTTAATCAGTTTAGTTGTTTTAGGATTGCTTTTTTAGTTCAGGTGTGCTATTGATCTCATAGTTAGTGACATTGTTTTACCTCTAAATTAACGTTTCAATGTATTATACATTTAACACAAACATTAAATTCTATAGTAAAAGGCAATACAACAGAACCCAACAGCAAAGTAGACACAAAGCCCTGTGTTATTCACGTATGATTGTATACATTAGGTATAATACACAGTATTTTCAGGTTATGTAGTGATTGACAGCACCGGTAATTATGACTTTTCTATCGTATCATAAAAAGCGAATATAAGAAAAGTTTATTTTATTCAATAAAAAAACCAGAAATAGTTTACACAATGGATGGAAGCGCCCAAAGTAGCGGTCCATCAAATGATAGGTTTGTTTGCAATGTATTTCGAAACTAAAGCCAAAGATTATTGCATCGGATTTTTGACTTCAATTTGCAAATATTTTTAGTTCATCATTGAAACACTAAATCATAAATATTCTGCACATAATTTATCACTTATTGACTCATATTTAATATTAAGTAAAACTACATTTTAGAGCAAAATATTTGGTTACATAATAATATTATATAATATTTCTTACAAAATATTGAATTAATAAATTTGAAATGCAAAACATTTAGACAATAAAAACTATAATTTCTACCAAATTATCTGATATTAATTCAGATTAAAATAGATAATTAATAATTGTTAACTTTGTTTGTAAAGTTTCGTATAGTTAAGTCAGCATTTGAAAACCATTATATCTGGCACTTGAGTTATCAATTTCTAATTATCTTTTTATTAAAATTTTTTCAAACGTTTAATTCTCACTCTATTATTAATTGAAATATTATCACAAGTTTAAGCGTAACCGATTTCATGGGAAATAAGCTATTTTTGATTTTAAATATAACGTATTGTGTGCTAAATATAAATATAACCAAATCTGAAGCATTAAATCAGATCAAAGTTTTCTATTTTAGTAAATAAAACACATATTAGTGTAAGAGTCGACGAGAAGTGGAGATCAAAAAATAACAGATAACTGACATGTAGTGCACGTATCAGCTCTTATCTGCTGTTAAATGAGTTTTTGTTGAATTGACAAAAGTGTGGATGAGTTGAGAAAAGTTTAGTTGATTTTCCTGATGGCCGACGCAAACAACTCGTTCAGTGTTTCCAATTGTTTCGGTTGCATAGTTAGGGGTCGGGATAGGGATCGCGACAATAGGTCTATCGACTTGCGTTTGGCGTTCAGATGGGGCTCACGGGACGGGACGGCAACCGAGCTAATGTCGTGCTCTAAATATAAGCCTTTGTACCCCATATAAGGGCTGATTGTAAGCGCCGTTAATAATTCGATGTGAATCTTGTTTTTGGACGGAGGGTAGCATTCATAGATACTCTGCAACACTAACAACATATGCTTAATATCCATAGGAATTGCTTTCTTTTCATTTACGAGATCTTTGAGTTTGTCTTCGAAACTCGTTTCAAAAATAACTTCATCTCTGAATGCAATCAGTGTTGTCTGTCTTACGGTTAGTCCACACTTTTAAAGGTATAATCAGTTTTATAAGTTATAGTATCACCATTTTAATTCTTATGGGCGCTTAAGACTTAATTAATAACTTCATCTCTGAATGCAATCAGTGTTGTCTGTCTTACGGTTAGTCCACACTTTTAAAGGTATAATCAGTTTTATAAGTTATAGTATCACCATTTTAATTCGTATGGGCGCTTAAGACTTAATTTCTGGATTGTTGGCATCAATCTTCAGTTCAATTTGCAGACCACATTGCATTTGAAGAGATTATTTAATTTATTAATACTCTTCTAACATAATATGTAGTCATTTATATGTCGAGGAGTGGTAGGACACTATGTCTCATTATCTAAATTTAATACTTTCCTCATTCAAGAACTTTTAACAAAAAATAACTTTGCAAAATGTAAGTCCTTCCGGTGCTTAATATTCTTATGGATAACCAGGTACAATAAAACATATGCTATACATAATCAGTCTCAATGGCTATACAAGTGGAACTATAGATTGATCCCAACAATTACCGTAAGTCTTAAGCTTGTCATATAATCAAAAATGGTGCCACTATATAAATCTTATACCTTAGCCTTAACTCTGAAAAGTATCGAGTCCAAATTGGGCAATATATTTGAATAAAATTGAGTCCAAATGTCACACAATCCGTCAATAATGTTAGGCATTGAGTTGAGTCTCTCTCTAAGTATTGTCATCCCTTTCTTCAACATATGGCTGTTATAGCGGTCGTAGACAAATGACCCGATATTTGAGTCCAACAAATGTCTCACGTGTTCATGAATGCCAATTAGAGTGCCGGCCCTCAGCAACACCGGACCCGACCTCTCGAACAGCTCCAGAATAGCTTCTTCGAGACGAAGCCAATGCTGTGTTTGGGAGGTAGTGATGGTATTGTAGAAGGGATTCCTCAGAGCACTGGTCGACATATTTCCCAAACATATCGTTTGATAAGAATCGGCTGATATTTCATCCAAAGGACAGATGTGACGCTTTTGTGAATTGGAGCGATGGATACGGACTTTGTCTTCATCTTTGGTATCCGTTATATCAACTGATTTGCGCAAAGGTTTCCAATTCCACGATAAGTTTGGAATCGATGTCCCACTTCTTGGCATTTATCCAGTTATTAGTGATTATTGATATTAAATCACTTAATGTACTTAATTCCCAATAATATAATTGCAGTTAAATTAACTTAATTGACATCAAATTATTTTTCTATTACTAATCGTAATACATTTCACTCGTTTAATGTGCATTAATACCAAAAATAATTATACTATATTTTAATTAAACAATAAATGTTTAATTATTTCATTTAAGATAAGATATCAAATCATGAGTAGAGTCCTCAATATCTCTATTCAAGAAAATTTATGATTTTTCATTAAATTATTTGACAAACAGTTTATTAGATATGAGTTTTCCATCACTGATAACTTGAGTAATTAAGTAAGAATTTAATAAACAATTAAATTGTGGAAAAACTGAATAAAAACCTCAAATATAAGAAGACAATACAAGTTGAGTAGTATTTTGACATTAGGTTTTGAATACGAATCCAAAGTCTAAGCATAAGTGTTAAGAATTTTATGATTTAAATTTCGAAATGACATCAATTCATAGTAAACATGTGCTGTTGCTAATCATTAGTGATATAAAAAGTTTATAAAATATTAAATGTTTTGTTACATAAGCGCACAAATCATAAACTCATAATTCTTTTATTATACTTCACTTAAAAAAACAATTTCATTGTTTAAACAATTTTCTTTTGTA